TTATTGCCATATTTACCGGTTTAGCGTGCGCTTTGGGGGTGAATTGCGGTCCGGGCCGTAGTCTCTACGCCTGCCTCTGTGGCGGAAGGTGCCTATTGTGGTTTGGGGCTGGGTGCGAGGATTTAGGCCGAGAATGTGGCCAGATAAAGGGGGAAATAACCCACTAAACACCTGGATTACGGTTGCGTGCGCTTAATTGAGCCCGAAATAAGCCACGGAGGTGTTTTAATTAGAAGCGACGGACTCCGGTCGATGCATGCGCGGTGCGCCGCGAGGGGAGGGCGAAGCGCTACCCGAGTTTGGCCATTTTGACAGCTTAGCAGCGGCCGAGCCGCGGCCGTCTTTAGGGCTGCCCTGCCGCTCCGGGAGTCGGTGCTAAGTCTACCCCACGGCGCCTAGCCCGAGACGAGCTCGCGGCGGCCGGTTCTGGCGGTTCAATCCACCCAGAATTAGCCTAATTGGCCGCTAAATCGACAGGAGAGAGCGCGATTGAACGAGGTCTTAAAAACGGAGCTCCGTCATGGCGCAGTGAAACGATACGGGAGCTAACACACCCTCCATATTTCCCGGGAGTTTCCTTTCTCTCTAGCGCGATTTTAATTGAACTAAAACGTTTTTTTTCGACGCGAGTAACCTCGCCGGGGGGAAATTGGGCACACAAAATACGCTTTAGTAGCCTAGCTGGAGCATTCAGCCGTCGGTTGGGTGTCGGCGCATCGCCATGCAGGCTGAACTGGGTCAGGTCCTGCTAGCCGCTAAGCTAACGGCTAAAGCTAGCTGGCGCTAATCTATCTCTCCATCTTAAAATTCCGCAGGGGAATGCGACAAGGAGGGCGTAGCTGTTAGCGAGCCGCCTCAACGGCCGCAGTCTGGACGTTTCTTGCCTCGGTGGCTCTTTTTAAACGGCCGTGTCAAAAATGTTAGCGGAGGCGACGGAGCCGTTGGGTGTAGTTCTGTCCGCCGTTGAACATGGTGGCCCCCCATTTTTTTTTTCTTTCTCTCTTTTTTTTTTTTTCCTCTCCCCCTTCTCGATGCGAATAAGCCTGTTAACCTCAGCCGTTAGCCGGGCGGTTGGATAACGGCCCCCGCACGTGAGGGGTGTAATAGTGGCGTGCCAGATGATTGTATTTGGTCATCGAAGCCAAACTGGATCAATTTTGAACCGATCCGCGGGTCGTTAATGGCGTCTAACTAGCCCGACATGAGCCGTTGGAGCTGCCTTTTTCTACTCGTGCTAATGCTAACGTCACGATGATAACGTCGTACCACTGCGATATTACTGGTCTGTCGTTTAATCGCCGGAATTATCGTCCCACTTTGTGTAACAATTGCCCCTTTCTTCGGTCGAGGATACATGTGAAAGTGAATCTAATTGTTCTTTAGTAAAAAAAAAAAAAAAAAAAAAAAAAAAATCGCCTCTAGCTTCTACCCTGCACTTTCTTACAGCAATCCCGACCGTTCCTAATCACTAATGGTCGTTTTTATTTGGTTAAACGGTGAGTAAGGTTTGAAATGTTGGAGATTATATTTCCCCAGTGATTGCTGTTTGTGGCCTGGCCACTCAAACGTGATTTTAAAACGCAATAAATCAAAGTTCAGGATATTTTAACGTCTATTAGCTTCCCTATCTCAGTCGACTTGAGGAAAGCATGCCTCAGGTTTGTTAAGCATCCATTTTTTTTCTTTTTCTTTTTTGTTCTTTTATACAAACCTCTGATTTGAGCCCTTTGGGTTTCTGTCAGTTTTCTTTTTAATTTAAACAAGTTCACTGTATCCTAAAAAATAATATTAGTATGTAGAATATATTTTCTTATCAAAATATTCACTATTTCCTATTGAAGATGATGCAGTGATTATGTTCTGAAGTCTGTTTAGATATGACTGCACACAGTGAATTTCCTGAGGGCTTTTGGAGAAGCCAGAGGGATGAGTTTCCTCTTTTTCAAAACGTGTGTCCTGATAATGGGCAGAATGGGTTTTTGAATTTATAATGACCCCGTTGCTTAATGGTCTCACCATTCTGTCTTTTTAAAAACTAATGGAACAGCACTCAATATGAGCAGATAATTGATTTTTTTTCTTTTTTGCCTTTTCTCCTATTAGCCTTGGATTCGGCACCCAATATTTGCTATTGGTAAATTCCCACTTGAGAGGATATTAATTACTCTGCTGAACCATAGGAAGTGCAGGGAGGGGGGGTGTGGGGGGTAGTAGCACAATCGGTTTAGTGACAAAGTTTTCAGAATAGCTTATTGTTTTCACTTTGAGTCCAGAGGCCTTCAATTAGGCATTTAGTTTAGAAAGGAATAAAGTTTGAAAAAAAACTTTTTAAAATTAATCAAAAAACACCCTGGGTTATCATCACTGACCCCAAACATTTTTTTTCTATTAACTTGTGATATGAAATTAAGAAAATATGTTTTTGGAGGTTAGCTTTTTTTAAAACTAGGCGTTTTTCACAAAACACCAAATGCAATTGTATTTTGCAACCAGTGTTAAAATGGTGTTCAGTACACACCAGAACATTAAGTTGGTGTATAGATGCAAACATTCATGGATTTCTTAAGCTTAGAAATCCACGGAAACATTCAGACTTGTCTTAAGACTACAGACATTTTTGCAAAAATGTCAATTTAACAAATTGATATAGTTTCAAAATGCTCAATTGACAAACTTTTCTTAAGGATGGAAGATCAGAAGTTGAGTATAGATTTTCTTGGAATTTCCCCTTTGTTATTTTCAAAGTTCGTAAAATGATAAAAAGTTGATAAGAGGTGTTTGCCTTCGGATTGAGGCGGTGCAGGTGGAGGCACCTGGCCAGTAAAATGTGGAGGGACACGCCCTCCTGCCGGCCTCTGGGGATTGGCTGCCTGTGTCGTCACTGCTGATTGGCTCCTTTTTGTCTTCCTGACAAAACCTGCCTGCCTTGTCTTTCTTGACATAAAATGCTAAAGCTTCTTTAGTTTCCCTCCCCCCACGGGGGGGGGGGGCACGCCTTCCTTTTAGCTGTTTCTCTCCTGGTGGCCTGACAGGTATGCTGAGCTGCTGAATGAACTTTTTACCTGCTCCATGTCAACTTTTTAGACACCTTTTTTAGCATGACTTAGAAACTTAGGATTTTGCTGTACTCAGTTTTAAGATCATAGGACCAATGAGACGCACATCTGCAAGGAAATGATGGCAACTTATTTTACTTTAACTCTAAGGGAGCTATTGATTTATAAGCCAAAGCTAGAGGAGGAAATAAAAAGCTCATTTAGATGAGAACAATTTACTCATAATTGGGCTGTTAGTTCAAATTTAAGTGTTCTGAAAGTACACATTTTGCCTCAAATCATCAAAGGCTTTTGCAACGAGTTAGCTGTGGAAAAAAATAGGCAGTAAACTGTCTGTAACATGGGTAAAGATCCAGTGAGGGAGGCCTGCAGCACCTTTTAAGGTGTTCCTGCTTCCCTTTGCAGGGATGGAAGCCGCAGCTTTTATCAGGTGCTTTGCCAGTTCCAGCTTCAGATCGGGCTGGAGATAAAACCGGGCCAAAGCCGTGGACATAAAATGACATAATGCCTCCTCTGACTTGGTGGAAGATCGCTGACTCGACTCTGAAAACTGTTTTTTTTTTGCGTATTGAGTTCAGTATTAAATCTAGATTTATTTTCTAGTGACCGGAGTCCAGCAGTAATTGAGTGTCCATAAGCAAGTAATTGTCCCCAAGCATGTCGGAGGGGATGTTTCTGAGGGCGGTGGCGGCCATGAGGGTTTCTGTTGCTGGAGGTGTTTCTGCTGTAAGCTTTTCCCACCCCCCCACCCCCCCCACTCACCCAAGGCCTTTCTGGAGCGAGTCAGAGGCTGATATGCTTTTAAATGTTAATCGTTTCATTTCCCCGTACGCCGGTGGTGGTTTCACCTGTGAGGAATTCGGGTGTTGTCGTGCTCCCAGGGCAACAGAAACCACCGGCGGGGCGGCCTTCGGTGCTCGGATGCCATAACTGGTAATTACATAACTCTGCAGGACGCGTTCACAGAGCGTCACAGGTTTGTTTTTGGTCAGAAACAGGCTTTGGATTGGGAGTCGCAGCGAATTTCACGGCTCTGTTTTACATTCCTTTTTTTTCCCCCTCCCCACTCTGGGTGTGTGCTATCCGACACGCAGACATGGCGTCTGCAGCTTATCGATGCGCTGTGGGCATTTCTATCCCCAAAGCCACCTTAAACGGCGCGTTTCAAACTTGTTCCTCAGGTTCTAAGTGAGAATTGGAAATGCTTAAAATCTCCTTTTTTTAAAATGTTGAATGGTTGTACTGATCTTTTTGTGCTCATCCAATCTGACCTCCCTCTGTCCGGGGGTGTGGGGGGGCAGCCATAGGTCAGGTCAGCCTCCAGGGTCCCGCAACGTGGTTTTTAATCCCCTCTGAAAGCTAATTTCTGAGGGATTTTCCGCCCGTTTCTGCTCTGCCGGTATGAAACTCTCCCTCTGCCGCGTCTCCTGGTCATTTGTTCTTTTTTTTCCTTTAGAGATGGCACAGATAGAAACTGTTGATGCTGGGAGCTCCTCATTGTGGGAGCTTTTATCGTGTGACGAGTGGATGAGGGGAGGCTGTGTCCTATTTAGACCTGCAGATGCATCTGGAGAGCAGAGGGCCTTCAGGGGACGCAGAGGCTCACTGGAGCGGAGAGTTTTTGGGAGTTTTGTGATATTTGCGATGCGTTTTTAGGTCTCTGCCCCTCCATGTTCTCCAGTATGACGTTTATCGATTAGCTTTGGCCGAATGGGGCCACGTGGTTTATTTTCATGTGTTTTTTAAGAAGCCTTTCCTTCCTTCCTTTCTGCTGCCTCCATGGTGCCCTAGTTAGACTCCGCGCCCCTGAGATTTCCACACCTTTTTTTCTCCCTTCTCCGTCTCTCTCTCGTCCCGTTTTTTTTTTTTTTTTTCTCCGCCCGTTTTTATTTATTCATCGCCCAGTTACCGACTCCTGTCTTCTCCGCTTTTGCAGCCTAAAAGATGGATAAGAACGACCTGGTGCAGAAAGCCAAGCTGGCAGAGCAGGCCGAGCGCTACGACGACATGGCGGCTGCCATGAAGGCGGTGACGGAGCAGGGCCTGGAGCTCAGCAACGAGGAGCGCAACCTGCTCTCCGTGGCCTATAAGAACGTGGTAAGGCATCCGGCGGCTTACCTCTTTAATCTTCCCCCCCCCATAGAGCAGAGCTCCCGCCTCAGTGGGACGACCGTTGGGCTGGACGAGCAGGAAATGGAAGGCAGAAACCTCAATTTGGTGTCCACCAAACTGGATTAATTGCCTCTTTTTAAAATAAATATTCTATATTTTTTAATAAAATCAAATTAACCGTAGTCATTTAAACAGTCCTAGATATGATCACGGTTTGGTTAACCCTACTAGAAGCAGTCACTGGACGAGCAGGAAATGGAAGGCAAAAACCTCAATTTGGTGTCCACCAAACTGGAATTAATTCCCCTTTTTTTAATAAATATTATCTTTTTTTTTTTTTCATAAAATAAAATGAACCATAATCATTTAAACAGTCCTAGATATGACCACTTGTTTGGTTAATCTTTCTAGAAGCAGTCACTGGTTTAGTGTCCTGCAGATTGTCCAGCCCGGCTTCTTCTCAAAGCTCAAAGCCATGGAAAATCACCACAAACCACCCACTAATCCATTTTTCTTTTTTCAAATTTTTAACCTGATTCCTGATAGTTGGAGTCAAACCAGAGCAAATGTCCGATCTGTCTTTGTTAGTCAGACTTTTGAGCATTAGAAGGTTTCCTCCTCGTCTCTTAGAGCTGCTGCTGATCACTGAGGCCTTTATCTTCCAGCAGGGAGTTGGAGGCGTGCTCTGCCGCCTGCTCCTTTATAAAGCGCTCTGTTGTGTTTGGTTCAGACTCGGGGAAATGGCATAAGTCACACTTGCATCAAGTGACACCAAAGTGTTTCTTTTTTTTTTTCTCACGCCGTCGTCAGAGAGTCGGCTGTAACCGGTTTTAACGGCTCAAGTCTGTCGAGCTTTTGTTTTATTTATTTTTGTCCTTCCTCTTTTGGACCAGGTGTGCGGAGCTTCCTCTAAACCTGCCTTTTTTTCCCTGTTTGGCTCCGCTGTGGCGCTTAGGTGGGGGCCCGCCGCTCGTCCTGGCGCGTCATCTCCAGCATCGAGCAGAAGACGGAGGGCAACGAGAAGAAACAGCAGATGGCCCGCGATTACCGCGTGAAGATCGAGGCTGAGCTCCAAGAAATCTGCCACGACGTGCTGGTACGAACACCAAAGGGGCAGCAGGGGAGGGGCAAACAAATCTTTAACTTTCTCCTGGGTTTCCCCGCTTTGGGGGGCTGCCTCTTCCTGGTTTTCCCAGTCTGGGTCCACTCAGGGTGGCCGGTCCAAGTGAGGGTCACTCCCTCTGCAGCCTTTAGTGCAGGGGCGTCAGAATCCAGTCCTCGAGGGCCGCTGTCCTGCAGGTTTTAGACGTTTTCCTGCTTCTTCACACCTGATTCTTATTAACTCATTGACTGCCAGCCACTTTCAGAACAGTCCCATACTGCCAGAGATTTTTGAGCATTTTGACAGATTTTTCAAGAGCCACAGAATAGTTTGTGCTATGACTATGTAAACACCGAACACACCAAAAGAAAGAGTAGAGACTCTTCTTTCATCAGGAAAATGTTTTTGTTTCTACCGTATTCCGGTCTTCCTGGACTTGCGTCTCACCGGCGACATGTTCTCTCATAGCGAAGCGTTACCTTTTTCTTATTTGCCTACAGTCTATGCTCATCTCCCATCAAAAGTGGCACTGCCACCTAGAGGGTCAATTTGTTACTACATAGTCTGTCTAGAAGCCTGATATTTACGGACAAGCTTTAGCAGATCGTCCCCCAAGCCACTCTTGTTGAAAAACATAAGACGTCTATAGACGTGTTTGGCAGCCAATGAGTTAAATTGGATCTCCTCTGGACATTGGGGAGCTTCGCACCTGTCTAATGGCCCTTTGATGTGAATCAGGTGTGTTGAGAAAAGGGTTACCTCTAACACCTGCAGGACAGCGGCCCTCGAGGACTGGAGCCCTGCTTTAGTAGAACGGGTCGGCACACGACCCGGTTTGGGATGGGCACAACGATCTGAAGTCTCACTTTCAGAGTCTGAGAAAGCGAATTCCTGTTACCCTTTTTGTTTTCTTTTTAAAATTTCATTAAAGAAACCTCAACAGAAATGATGGAAACGTTACACACGCCCCCCCCCTCCCAGGTGCCCGAAAACACCATTAAACCCAAACCAGCCCTATCCTTCAGTCTCACTCAACTCCCAGTTCTTAGTTTCTCCCCACAAAAAAAAGCTGAGTAATCGACCTGCGAGGCCCGACTTAAAGCCCTGCCCTGCTTTTCGAAGTGGCGAGGCACCCCCCCCCCC